TAACGCGCTGCTTGACATGCTGTGAACTGCTTCCTGGGGCACGCTTCTTCTCGTGCGTCGTCGCTCTGTGGTACCCCTCGCCGCGGCTCTCGTCCAACGGCGTCAACGCATAGCGTCGCACCTGCTCGGCGTGGAGCGGGTCCACTTGGCCGCCATCTGCGACCTGCTGTATGTGATCACCGTGAGCGTTCATCAGCTGCTGTGTGACGAGGTCGTGGTACTGAAAAGCAACACGACGTACTTTGTGAAGGAACACCCTGGCACCGTCCTGGGAAAGGGTGTGCACGAATGACCAAGGCGGAGACTCCAGGTACTTGCTGCGATTGAGTATGTTCCCGCCTGCGAACTCCAACATCGCCACCAATGCACCGTGGACTTCTGCGTCCATCCCGACGTCATCAAGCGTGAGCGTCCTCGACCTCGCCATGTACTGTCTCGACGACTCTCTCACTCGGGCGTATGCTGCCGATAATCTCCGAGAATTGAAAAAACAATCGATGTGGATGCTGCGCCCTCGGGCTCTCGCTTCAGACCGCTGCTGGACGTGCTCTGGGCACGCGCAAGTCATCCCCCAGAAGCGGTCATGCTCCAGCGGCGTAAAAAGATGCCGCCCAGCGTGCACGATGAAGCACCACAACGTGTCATCTGCCAGGGAGTCGAACACTGCTGCAATATCGGAGTCCTGGCAATTGCGAAACCACTCAGGCCGAATACACGTGCGGACCTCACGCAGAGAAGACAACTGGCGAAGAACGACCTCCAAGGTCTGGTACCTCCACTTCGCGAAGTCAGCCGTGAAGCGATCCAGAACACTCCCGTCTAAAGTGGGGTGCTCTTCGCTCAACTTCTTCTTGATGTGCTTGCGGTACGTCGTGTTCTTGAAGAAGCTGCATAAACACCGAAAGCGTGAAAGCTTCGCAGGCCACTGCGGCCACGTCTGACAGCAATGCTTAGCCAAATTGCCGAACGTATGACCCCATCCACTCATGCGGATGGCGTTGGGCAAGAGTCTCTCATGTTGCACCGCGTGCGCCATGAGGTTGCCGACGGGCTCACCGCGCAACCAGAGCCAGAACGCAGCCCGCAAATTCGGCAACTGAATTGTCATCCGTTCCGTCCCCATGTCGGTCGTCACTGAAGTAACTTTCTCACAAAAATATTGCAGATCTTCTTCGTCCTGTCCAAATAATAGCCACGCGCCCCAGAGTAAGGCAATACCTTTTGATATTAAATCTGCATGCCCATAGCAAAGTGAACTGCCAGGAAACGTAACGTGATAAAACGAGCCGTCCACGCGGAGAACCGACGCGATAGTACCCTGGAATTCCTCTCCGCAGTTCGGGCTCGCATCCGTGAACAAGGCAACGCAATCGACGCGGTCATGGACCCGATCGGCGTGCCACCTCCGACGGTGAAGGAGCATGGCCAAGATGTCGATGCGCTGCAAACCACTCTCGAGACTCGTCCTCACGGGTGGCACCAACACCGCCCCGACCCCGAAAGCAAACCCTACCCCGAACGCCCGTGGGAGCCACGAGGGGGATCTATGCGACCCCCCCCGCCACCAAACTAGGAGGCGGGGCGGCGCGCGTCGGGGCGGGCTCGGGGAAGGGCAGCGGGCATAAGGGATCGGCGACGGCGTTGGGCCACCAACTCCTGTCAACGTCGCCGATGGCGTCCCTCTCCTCGGCCTCCGCGTCGAGGTCGTACGCGCTGGCGTCGGCCAGCGCCAGCTTGAAGTCTCGAGCCGACCGCAAGTGGCGCCTGAACTTCAGAGCCTTGTAGAACCTGACGGGGTCGGCCTTCCTCTTCCTGTGAGCTGGCTCGGCGTCGCCGCCGCCGACGCTGACCTGCTGGCGCTGGCGCTTGGGCGGCGGCAGCTGCAGCACGAGGTCCTCGTACGAGGTCAGCGCTCCTGGTGCCAGTGGTCGAGCCTGCCTCGCAGACGCCCTGGGCGGGCGATGCGCGCGCCGCCATCGTCGGACGATGGCTCGCGTCGGGTGGTTCGGCACGAGACCTGCCATCATGAATCGAGCGCACAACTTGAACGACGCCAGCACGACCTCCGAAGTGGACACAAGCACGCTGGCCAGCACAGGAAGACTCAACAAGAATACGTGGCACACTGAGTCCAACACGTCTGCCGCCGCCGAACGGCGGTTCACAGTGAAACGGGTACCAACGGCTCTGTCAACAATCATCTCCAGCAGGTTGGGGAGATGCGATGGGTCATCTACGTCTTCTTGCATGCTGGCAGGGACGGGCACGACCTGCGACAGCTGCCAGACGTCGGACACCTCGTAGTGGACAAATCCAGATGCCACTGCAGCTGATGCTAGAGAAGTGACCAGAGCAGCAGCGTGGCGGTCCTTGGCGTCGCTACACGACGTCTCCAGAGACCATTGGCACGAACAATACCCAACAACGCTCATGCCACGACCGCCCTCGAACTGATCCACCAAACTCTGAGGCACCACCTCCCCGTCGTCCGGGCGCCCGACAAGCAAGGCAGAAAACTGGCCGTGCGTGGGCGGCGGCGCAGGCACCCGTCTGCGCCGAGGTCGCGCACGCCGATCGGCGACGGTCGGCGGGCCGCCGACGCCGTCGGACTCAACGGCCACAGCTCCGCCGCCAACATCACTGCCAGCGTCGCCCACGTCCCCTCCGATGCCATCTTCGGCGACGGCAGTCTCTGCCATGGGCTCGCTGGAGCCCACGGCGTGGCCAAAGCAAAATGCTTTGAGCCAAAATGGCTACGGAGACGGACAACGAGCAGGGGGGGTCCAATATCAGCCCAAAAGTCACATCTTAGAGGGTGGGGCTTCTGTAAGCCCGAAAGCGGTCATATCATCTTATAGGGTGGAGGGTCGGCATAAACCTTAAATCTCAATGTTAAAGTTTTGATGGTGCCCCCCGTAGTGCCAGATCAAGCTCGTTTATTTAACCCTCCGTTTGTTGTTGTGGAAGAAGGTGCACGTCTCGACTTCTTTTCTGTCCCACTGCATGGGGCGAAGGAGGAGAAGGAGGAGTGGATGAGAAGGGGGGGGAGGGGTTTGCGGAGAGGAAGGGGCGTGAGACGAGCGACGCCCCGAACTCTAAGATGAAACTTTCAAGGTTCTACCGCTGCCACGGTCGAGTCGGGGCCCCTGGAACACCCGCGCAAGAAACATTGTGGGCCGAAGAGGAAAGGTGCGGTCGTCGGACCCCCGACCGCTCGCATGCTTGTTCATACCACCTCACCCTCCCCCGCCCCCCTCGTCTACCTATCTTCACGGTCTCATAAGAGTTGCACGGATGTCGCGCCATGGGCGTGCACTTGTGGCGCCTGGGACCCTTCGGCCCACCGTTGCCACCTAAATATGGGGACACATTGCAGGAGCTCTAAACCGATATTTTCTCAACCATTCTCAACCATTCTCAAACTCACCCAAAACCCCCAATAGCGGCCCACTGATTTTAACATACGGTGGGCAATACCCCGTCACAGTTAAAGGAAAGCCGTGACGTATCTGCGCGCAGCGGGCGCCATGGCGCGAGCTTCGGGCGGGGGGCAATTGGGCTTAACTGATGTCCGAAGGCCGCGGGGCCGCGGGATGCAACCCTGGACGCCCGCGGCCATCCCTAAATAACATTTTGGGGCTGGGTGAACCTACTCACATGACCCATATGTTTACATGTTACTTGGTGTGCGAATATTGTTTGCCCCGAATCCACCTACGCGAGGAATGCGACGCGGAGTTGCGACACCAGGTAAGACATCGGCGCATGCATGGCGCGTAAAACAAAAGCGCGGCACAAACCAGATCGGGCGCATCATATTCAGTCGCGAAATAACCCATCGCGCCAACCCCGCGCGGGGCCCGCGCAAAGATCACGACGGATTCCTCGGGGGCGCCCAATGTTCGGGCCAGGCCTTTACACCCGGGGGCCGCTTCGAGGCCCGTCTGGAGGTTCCCAAAGCCCCAGATCCGGGGAATCCGGTTTGTGGGGGAGGGGTGGGGGGTGACGGGTTTTCCCCCTGTCCGGGCTTCTTAAAATATGGGAAGAGGAATGCATATATATATATATATATATATACACACACACAAGACTGCAGTGGCGCTTCGCGCCATGCACCTTGGTCCTTGAAGTTTGGCATGCCGGCGAAATAGCAAGAAAGTCAAGCCGACAATTTAGCGAGAACTCCTTGTTGCCTTTTCCGGCATCGCCGCTATATTCATGTTATTCGTTATCCTTTCTCCATGCTTCTGTTTCCTTATTTTCGCCATACCCTGCGCACACTCCTCATCCTCCTCAGCTCTTTTTTGCGGAGGTTCCTCCTTGGAGAGCCTCTGGGGGCCTCACAAAAGTTGTTTCAGACTTTCTTACGGCCTTATGGAGGCCTCCTTGGCGTATTCTGGGGGCCTCCGGGGGCTTCCTCGGGCCACCCTGCCTCCAACCGCGGTCTCCCTGAACGACCAGGTCACGATTGGGAATGCTTCGAGGGTGTCTTTGGGCCATCTTGGGCCGCCATGGAGCTCTCTGAGGGCCATCTTGGACCCGTGTTGTGCCGTTTTGGGGCTCTTTTGGACTGCCTGGAAGCCCTTTCGGATGGTTGTGGGGCGATTTTGGAGCCCCCCAGGCGGCTTCGAACGCCCAGAAGACCGCCGTCTTGGAGCGTCGGGAAGCCGAATAGAGGAGAACCGCAGACTTCACCAAAAACCAACAGAAAATCAATGGTTTTTGCCTCGGGGGGCCTTCTTAGGAGTGCTCTTGGAGGCCTCTATGGGGCCGTCCTGGAGGCCTCTTGGGCCATCTTGAGGTCACGTCGGTCACTCTTGGAGCGCTCTTATATATATATATATATATATACATATATACATATATATATACACACACGTGCATACGAATCGTCGACCTCGATTATCTGACCGTCGCCGTACTATATAATGTACCCGCGGAGGGGCTTCATGGAGCCGTTGTGGAAGCATGACTGCGGCCATGTGTTTGCAAACGCGCACCCGCTTCGCGCCGCTCGAGAAGCTCCGGTGTCTGGAGGTGCGCCAGAAGACGTGGTGTGCCGACCAGGGGCACTCTTTACTGTTTTCGCTCGGGCCGTGGGCACGACATGAAATCGAGGAGCGAGGGTCAAGAGGCTGGTGCTGCTCCTACTCTCTCGGCTGCGGGGGCCTCGCCTAACGGCGGGCTGGCTCAGCAATTGCGAGACTGGCGAACCTCCTCCGTCCCTCCCGCCCTGCCCATTTCCACCCCTCGTCCTCCAACCGACTCGGCCTGATCAACCGCCGACTAAGATTCCGTCTGGCCCCGCCATGCTGCCCGAAATGGAGCTCGACTGCCCCAAGGCCCAGGGAGGGGCGACCCGGAGGCCACCTCACCAGAAGAAACACAAATATTTTGTTTCAAGCGATCCCCACGGAACTCTTCAGAGTTTGTTCACGAGTCTGGTACTGTTGCCTGTTGTAGCCAGCCTGAGCTCGGCACGCATGTCGCGTTTAATGATAGACCATGATTCGGTCACTGCTGCATTCAACTCCAGCATGTTCTGTTCGGTTCGGTTCTGTTTAAACGCTGCTATGATGTGCTCCGTTCTGTTCTCGATGGGCTGGCGTGACGCCTGATCGGTCGTTGTTGCGCCTGTGTTTGTCCTGTGACCAGGCTTATGTCGGTGTGGATGCTGCGTTTGACAGGGCATCCGTTAATATGTAATTCACGTAGATTCCACCATGTTCAAATCTGCTCGACTGTACTATGTATTGCGGTTTTCTCGACGGCCTGGCGTGACGTCGTGACGCCTGTTAATTTAGATACGTCGCCCAATGGTGGGCCGTTGTTGCGCCTGTATGTTCATGTGGCTAGCCTGGCCTCGGGGTGCACGTCGCGTTTGATTATCCGCCACCGTGACTCTGGGCACGGAGTGGGCGTGCCCTCGGAGGTCACTTACCTCACCCCTGGAGCCCCAGTCCTCAGTCCTGAGGCGTACTGACGGCGCCTGGACCCGGCGAGGCTCCCAGCGTGCCCCTGGGCTCCGGCGCGTCTCCCCGCGTGACTTTGTCGAGACGGGCCAAGAGGGCCCCACGAGGCTCCCGAGACGGTCTATGATGGCCCCGAGTCGCCGAAAGGTCGTTCCACGACGCCCAAGATGGCCTCAAAACGGCCAAAGAGGCCTCCAAGACGCCCCATGAGGCGTCCAAGTGGCCCCCCAAGAGGGCCCCAAGACGGACAAATCATTGGGTATTCCAAAGTTGTCGAAGGGTTTGGGCTGTCGCGCCTTTTCGGGATCCCGACGCTCCAAGACGGCCCAGAAGCCCCCCAAGATCGCCCCAAGACGGCCCAAGAGGCCTCCAAGAGAGCCCCAAAACGGCCCAACAAAGCGCCAAGACGGCCCAAGAGGCGCCCAAGACGGCCCAAGAGGGCCCCAAGGCGGCCTCTAAGGGGCCCTAGAAGAGAGAACGCGAACCGAAAATCCGAGCCTTTCGCCCCAAGAGGTCCCCAGGAGGCCCCGGAGGCACCCAGGAAGGCCCAAGAGGCCCCCTAAAAGACCCCGAAGAGGACACAAGAGGCACCTAATAGGCCCTCAAAAAGACCCCAAGAGGCCCCAAAACGGCCCCCAAGAGGCCTCAGGACCGCTTCCAAGAAGTCCCCGAGAGGCCCCCCTCGAGATCCCAACCAACATCCATAGGCCTTGCACCCACAACCCAAGCACCTTGGCTAGATGGGCCGCAACTCACTAATATTGTGGTACGGTCGGTTATCTAATGATGGTCGTTTGATGGGACGCCGTGAATTGGTGGCTGCTGTAGCATATGTTGCTATACGCTGCTCGCGTGGATTCGGCCCACGTGTAGTCAACTATCACATGCTACGTTGAGTTATAGTCTGGGCTGGCTGGCGTGACGTCGTGACGCCTGTCACGTATGGTATGTCGTCCAACTGCTACTGCTTGTTCCTGTCATCACCGTGGGCTCGGCATGCATGTCGCGTATGATCGGACAACATTGCTCGATGTCGGCTGTATTATACAATGTGACGTTCCGTTATGCTCTGATCTGTTCTGTTATAAGCAAACATTGTTTGCTCTGTTCGGCTCTCGACGGGGCTGCGTGACGTCATGCCGCCTGCCACGTTCGATATGTCGTCTGATCGGTCGTTGCTGCGCCTGTTTTTGGCCGGTGGCCAGCCTTACATCCGCGTGGATGATGAGTTTGACAGGGCGCAATTAGTGGGTCGCTGTTGTATTTAGCGATATTCGACTATGTTGCATCCCTCATGTTAGCATATGTGATACTGTGCTATGCTGCTCTGTTGTTCTCGACGGGCAAGCGTGACATCGTGACGCCTGCCAAGTTACATACATCGTCCGATCGGTAATTGCCGCGCGTGTTTGTCACTGTGTTCAGCCTGACACCGGCACGAACGTTGCTTGAGACCATGTTCAGATGTGGCCAGGTGATGACGTTCGGTGGTGGCCCGACATGTCATGTTTAATGTGTTATGTCACACGACGAACTGTTATGCTGAGTGGCGGCATTCGGTTATAATACCATATGTGTTGTTTACGCTATACCATGCTGGTTCTATGGTGTAACGACATGCCCAGGTTGTGGCATACCAGATAAAGTGTGCGTTACGATACGATGATACGACATAGTCCAGGCCGTAGTGGTTGCAGTAATACTACAATTATGGTATGACATGCTGGTTACGTTGCGCCCTGTTCATTATGATATGCTATGCAATGTTATGCCATGATGCTCCTCGCCAATTTCACAATCGACGCTGCGCGTCTATTGTCGATGCCGTCGTGGCAGCACTGATGCAACACTTCTGACAAGTGTTGTTAAGACATGTTATGATATACTCTGGTATGCTCCAGTCCGTCATGCACTGCGTTGTCATGGTATGGGCTGCTCGATGCGGTGGTAAATTATGCTACGTTCTGGTAGGCTGCGATATGGTGCGGTATTCTTCGTGTTGCAGCCCTCATCATAAACTAGGCCACGCCTTGCAATGGCATACATTATCATTGAGTTGTATGTTGTGTTCGTTGACGCTGATGTGTATGCAATGTTATGTCATGATATGATCGGATATGTGATATGCTAATGTCTCGTGACATGCACTGGTGTGTTACGCTGTGCAAAATTATGTTAACTTATGCATGCTCCGCGCTGTCATAGCATGCTGTGCTATGCGATGAGTTGATTTGTTATTTGATGATGCGTTATAGCACGCTCTGTTCTGTCATGTCATGCTCGATCGATATGATCTGCTCTGTCATGTGTTGCTGTGTGTATGCTCTGTGCTGTTACGTACCTGCTGTCATGATCGCAGGGCCGGGAGTCTCGGGGACGCTCGGCGGACCTGGGGATCTGGCGGCCGCGGTATGCAGAGTGGGCGGGTCGGGTCTGGAGGGGCGGGGGTCTCACGGGACGCTCGGCGGACCTGGGGATCTGGCGGCCGCGGTATGCAGAGTGGGCGGGTTGTGAGGTCAGTTCTTCAACACCTGTTGGGCGAGGGGCAACTACATGAACAGTACGCTGTCCGACTTCCGCGCGGACCTCTGGGATCGGCGCTGGACCCCCCTGGCGGCGTCTCTGGCGCCGCCCCTTGCGCTAAGCGCGCCAAGGAGGGAGGAGGGGGCTCCAGTGTGATCCAAGAGACCTGCGAAGCCCTCCGAAAGTAGATTTGCACGTCACGTTCCCATCTTCGACTCACCCTATGTGCCATGCTATGGGGCGGGGCGCTCCGCCACCAATGTCAGCAAAGGGGCCGCGCGCGCACAGCCCCTCCCACAAGTGCAGCACAGGGAGCCTGGATGCTCGTGGCGGCATGGGTAGCCAAGGCGAGCAAAGAAGCCAAGGCCTTCGGCTCGCCTCCTCCTTTGTCACCCCCATCCCCCTGCTGACCGAAAGCACCGCGGGTACAGGCTCTGGGCCTGGGAGACACCGCTCGGCGGCAGCGGACGGGAAAATACGCCATCGTGCCTTGAGGCATGACATGGAGTGTCCTAAAGTCCTGAGGGATCCCCGCCCCTCGATGATGACAACTGCGAAGAAGTCCTGAAGGGGCCCCTCAGGCCTGGGGCCTGTCAACCGACTTTTTCAGACGCCAGAGTGCCGCAAGAGGAGCCAGGAGGGTCCCGAGACGGCCTGGGAGGACTCCAAGACATCCACGATGGACTGCAAACGGCCCACGAAGCTCCCACGACGCCCCGCGAGGGCTCCCAGGGCACACCCGGCAAGGCACCAAGAGGCACAAGCTATGAATTGTCCACGGAAGTGCCTGCCAAATGTTCGCGGTCTCGCCTTCCCGGGCTTCCGAACGCCCAAGACGGTCGAAGAGGAACACAAAGCTGCCCGAAGACGGCCCAAGAGGCCCCTAGGAGGCCCTCAAGACGGCCCACAGCCCAAGAGGCACCAAAAGAAGGCTCAAGACGGGGTCCAAAAGAGACCCGAGAGGGGCCCAAGATGGGGGTACGGACTTACATATCTAGCCCTTCCCAGGATGGCCACAAGATCCCGCCGAAGACACCAAGGGCGTCTGCAAGAGGCCCCGAGAGGCCTGCAAAATACCCTCAAAAGGCCAAAAGCGGCCCTTCAAAAGGGCCCCGAGAGGCATTCCAAGAGACCCTTCCTGCATCGCCATGAACCTCGACCCACAGCGACGACGGTGGCGGGGCGGGCCGAAGGCTGTCAGACCTGCTTGGCACGGGGACGGCAAACGCAACTTACTGTGTGATGGCACGAGATCGCTGGCTTGGCCGTGGTTCCTCCTCTTGCGTTCTCCACCAAATGTCCCTAAGACGGCCCAAGAAGACCCCAAGAGGACCCCAAGACGGTCCAAGAGGGCCGCAAGATGGCCCAAGAGGCCCACAAGACGGCCCAAAAGGCCCCCAAGACGGCCCTAGAGGCTCCCATGACGGCCCGAAGGTGGCCGCGAGAGGCCCACAGGATGGCCCCCGAAAAGGCCAAACGGCCCGAGAGTGCTCCAATACGGCCAAAAACGTGGCCCTCAAGAATCCCCAAGGGGTCTCCAAGATGCCCCAAGGAGGCTCCCACCAGGCTTTGCAACGACTCTGCTGCACGTGCTCTGGACGTGCACCCCGCGAAGCGAGAGGAATCCACGTGTGGAGGCGACGTGCTGAGCGGCAGCGTTTTTCGGCGGACGCCGTAATGCAACGTGTACACTCTATCCAATGATTGAAAAATTGCTACACATTGTAATGGATCCCATTCGCATGTGACCCTCCATCCCCCCCCCCGAGGCCGCGCCACTTCTGGCCCCATTTAGGGACTTGAATACCAGCAAATCTGAATACATGGTTTGGGTTCCTTGGGCTTCTTGAGGGTCTAAGAGGGCGCGAGACGGCTCAAGATCACCTCAATACGGTCCAAGACGGTCAAAGATGGCCCCAAAGACAATCCAAGATGACCCCAAAAGATCCAAAAAGCCCCCTGAAACGGCCCAAGAGGGCCTCAAAAGAGCGCCCAAGAGTGCCTCCAAAGGTGGACTGCACGTGCACCCGACGTGCACCCCGCGAAGCGGGAATAATCCACGTCCGGAGGTGACGTGCTGAGCGGCAGCGTCTTTTGGCGAACGCCTCAATGCAACATGTCGAACATACGCTTGTACTGCAAACTTGCTATATCTTGTATTGTATTAGGTGATGATGTGCCCCCCTACCTCCTCCCCCCCGAGGCCACGCCACTTCCGCCGATCAAGGCCCCCCCGCCCCCCTTGAGGCCCCAAATCTGCAAAAACCAATGGAAATCTATGATCTCACCCCCTGGGGCCTCTTGGTGTCTAAGAGGGCGTGAAGACAGCTCCAGATGGCCTCACCAGACGGCCCACAGATAACCCGAAGAGGGCTCAACAAGCCCCCAAGACTGCCCAAGAATGTCCCCAGAGCACCTCCAGAGGCCCAGATTACTGATTTCCCTAATGCCTAATGCTTTAAAACGCTAGCTTTCTCGCCTTGTTCGACTCTCAGAGGCCAATGACGGCCAAGGCAGCCTCCATGGTGATCCCAAAACAGACCCAGAGGCCCCCAAGAGGGGGCCCAAGACGGCCCAAGAAGGCTCCTATATCTTTAGCCCAAGGAGGCCCCAAGACAGCCCAAGAGGACCCCAGGAGAGCCCCGAGGCGGCCTGGAAAGGCCCCCAAAGGAGAGGCCAGACGGCGCAAGAGCACCCCAAGACCGCCCAAGAGGCCCCCAGGAGGCACCAAGAAGCCCTAGAGAGGCCCCCGAGAGGCCCCCAAAGGGGCCCCAAAGAGTTCTCCAAGACTGTACGTGCTCCGGACGTGCACCCGTAGAGTTTGCCACTAGTCTTTGTATTATTTCTTTTTCGGGCCCCGCGAGGGCCCAGATGCCCAAGAAAGCCCCAAGACGGGCCTAGAGAGCAGGGCCCCACAAACATCCAAGACGGCCCGGCCTCCGAATGCCAAGAGGCCTCCAAGAGTCCCCAGGAGGCCCCCAAGATGCCCCCCCCCCAGAGGCCCCTCAAAAATGACGACAGTTAAAATGATCCGCTATGTCCTGAGAATCCCACCAGCCCTCGGGGCGTAGGTGGTTTGACGGACTCTGTCTTCTCTCTCTGCCAAAACCCCTGCTTCCCCTGTTCGGGGGAGGGGTTGACCATCCCTCCCCCTACCCCGTGCCCTGAGCCCGGGGGAGAGTGGGGCCGCGAGGCGCCATAGCCCACAAGATCGCCCAAGATGGCTCCAAGAGGGCCTCAGAGAGCCCAAGATGGCCTCCAAGATGGCTCAAGATACCTTGAAATGGTTCAAGACAGCCTCCGACACACATCCAAGCGGCCTCAAGATGGCTCAAGACGTTTCAAGTGCCCTCCGAGCTCTCCCAGGACACCCCCCTGAAGATGGCCCCAAGACGGCCCAAGAGAGCCCCAAGAGAAGCCCGAGAGGGCCCCAAGAGGGCCACCAAACACCATTTTGGATCCTGCGAGGGGGGAGGGGGCTGGATTTAGGACACCCCCCCTTTGGGAGCCTTGGGGCCCAATATCGCCCCAAGAGGCATCCCAGACCCCTCCAAGGAGCCCCAACAGGGCCCCAAGACCTCCCAAAATGAGCCCCAAAAAGGCTCCAAAAGTGCCCCAAGAGGCCCCACGGGGGTCCCAAGTGAGCCCCTAAGACGGCCTTCGCCGTCCTTCCTTGTCATCGCTCGTTTCTTATCTCCACCTTTCCTGCCTCCTCCATGCTCCTCCTCCTTATCATATCTTCCTCGTGCCGAGTTCCTCCTCCTCCCCCTCCTCCTTTTCCTTCTCCTCCTCCTCTTACTCCCCCTCCTGAACATTTGTTGTTGCTCCTCCTCCTTCTCCTCCTCCTCATCCTCTTCATCCTCCTCCTCCTCTTACTTCCAAGATGGTCCCAGGAGGTCGACCATGGCTCAAGGTAGCCTCGAGCATACCTCCAAGACGCCTCAAGGCAGCCACAAAACGGTCCGAGATAGCTGAACATGGTTCAGGAAAGACTCCGGCAGCCTCTAGCCAAATCTGGCTCAACATAGCCTCCGAAGCCTCAAGAAAGCCTCCGATCGTGTCTGGATGGGTTGTTGGGGATTTGTTGCTCGCGAGCGCAAGCGGAAGGACCGCTCGCCGTCAAGAGCTACAGCAAACAAGCAAGAGCCGAACTTGCACACGGGAGAAAGAAAAAAAGGCTGCTGGGGATATTTGTTTGGGTCAGCGGGCAGACGCGTAAAGCAAATCGCCGAGAGGGGGGGGTCCGGGGCACGGTCCAGCCGAATTAACTACCGAGCCACGCGCGAGACGGCTGGGCCAGCACTCAGAAGCGGCTGCCGGGGGGCTGCTGCTGGGGGGAGCTGTCTGGGTAGTCTGCAGACGCCCAGGGTAGCTGTGCAGCGTGCGTGACGGAGGCTGAAAGACGCCGAAGTTGGAATCAAGTCCTGCACGCCAGAAAGCATGATCGGCTCTGTACCTGCGACCACGCATCAAACTAGCGGAGCGCTTCCACTGCTGGGCAACCCAGTAAGCGGCGCGCTAGCAGGAACAGAGAGCTGGAAGCCACGCGCTCGAGCTCAGGTACCATGGACAAGAGTGACCAGAGCTGCTGGGGATACTTGTTTGGTCCCGGCCGCGAGCGAAGAGCACACGCGGCGAAAGCAAATGTCCGCGGCAGCGAACAAGGCTGATTAGCTACAAGACGCGCCGTTAGCCGGCCGGCCCATTCACCAAGCAGCCGCGGGGCTGTGCGTGAAGCTGACGGCTTGGGGCATCCTGGGAAGCTCGGGCACGTGCAGTCTGACCAAATGCCGAGAAATTCGGTGCATGCCGTGAGGCATAACCCACACAGGCGACATGACGTGCACAGGTGCCGACGTGTCTTTCATATTGGGTGGGGGCAGGCGCGAAGACCGATGGGCGAGTCGCCAGCTGCTGGGGATACGCGAAGCGTCACGAGTTGCCAGCCGTCCAACTGACGGGAAGTGGACTTCACGACGCAGCAGCCTGGCCACGGAGGAAGATGGGAAAGAGCAGGCCCCTCAAAGGTCCAACGGAGGCCCCCCGAAGGCCCCAAGAGGGCGTCAAGACTCTTCCTGCTGCTATCCCTGCTGCTGCTCCTGCTGCAGCTCCTCGTTTTCGTCCTCATCCTCGTCTTCGTCCTCCTCTTCTCTTGCCCCAAATGCTCCTCCAGGGACTCCACAAGAGCTCGGGGGAAACACGGAGTCAAATAGTTTGGCCAAGATTTGGCCCAACGTTTGACCACACCGGCATGTCCACAAAAGGCAAGGGGCGGCGGTGACTCGCCGTAGACGTCGTCGATAGTCTTCTGGTGGCCGATTGCCGACCTCTCCAAGCACGAGGTCGGCACGTGCGGCCGAGCTGCTCTTTATGAGCACTAGACTTACGACAAGGTGTGCAGTCTCCAGGCATGGACAGGAGGCGGTGTGCTGGGGCGGGGGGTGAGCGAGGGAGAATGGCGAGAAGATGACAGAGAGAGAGAGGGAGAAAGAAGGGGGTAAACCATAATCCAAAAAACTAACGCCGAAGCAGCAATTATGCACGCGCTCAACAAACATAGTCGAATTGCACTCTGCATTCTGGCGCGAACCGCTGCCTCTGTACAGTGCCCAGACGCCCGCGTAAAAGACGTCTCTCGACCTCTTCCTTATCCGCCACCGCGCCTTGTGCACGTTGGGGCGTGGAATAATGCTAAGGTCTGTCTGGTAGTGTTTCTGGATTTTGATAAGAACCCCCCTTCTCGCGTCCGGATGTATGCACCGCCACCCTCCCGAAGCAACGATCCCTCATAAAAACATGGATCCGCGATCATGGCGCCGACATCCCGTGCAAAGAATCGATGTGCCCGCATCCTGAGCTTCCAGGACGGCCCAGGCAAGCAACCGAAGGCACCAAGATGGCCCCAGATGCCGCATCGAAACCCGCCCAAGATGGCCCCAAAGCGGCCCAACATGGCTTCAAGACGGCAAGATGCCCCGAAGAGGGCCCAACAGGGCCACAAGCGGACCTCTAACGGTGCCCGAAGCAGCCCAACTCATTAATTCCCATGTTGCGTTTAATGACTTCCCCATTCTCGCCGTTACGGGCTTCGTGAGCTCAGACGGCCCAAGAAGCCTCCACGATGGTCCCAAGAGTGCCCTGGAGACCCCCGCGAAGGTCAAGATGGCCCAAGAGGTGCCACGATGACCCAAGATGCATCCAAGACAGCACCAAGACAACCCAATAGGGTCTCCCGTGGGACCAAAGACGGCCCCAGGAGGCCTTACGAATGCCCAAGGCGGTCCACGTGACATCCACCATACGGCCGAGTGGGCCCCAAGACGGCCGTACAGTGCCCCAAGACGGCCCAAACGTGCCCCAAGACGCCCAAGGGCCCCAAAGGGACCCCAAGACTGCCTCACATGAGGCCAAGACAGCCCCAAGACGGCCCCAAACGAGATCCATGGGCGCTCATCGGATCATGCAGACGAAAGGTGCAACATGTTCCGACATTCCCTTCCTCCTCCTCCTCCTCCTCCTCCTCCTTCTCATCCTCCTCCTGCTGCTCCTTCTCCTACTCCTCCTCCTGACCCTCCTCCTCCTGCTTTTCGTCCTCTTCCTCCTCCTTGATCCGTCTCCTCCTCCTTCACCTCCTCCTCCTCCTTATCATCATCATCATCATCATCATCATCATCATCAGCAGCAGCAGCATCATCATCATCATCATCATCATCATCATCATCATCATCATCATCATCATCATCATCATCATCATCATCATCATCATCATCATCATCATCATCATCATCATCATCATCATCATCATCATCATCATCATCATCATCATCATCATCATCTCATCATCACCATCATCATCATCCTCATCCTCATCCTCATCCTCATCCTCATCCTCATCCTCATCCTCATCCTCATCATTATCAGCAACAACCTCATCATCATCATCATCAGCATCATCATCCTCATCAGCATCAGCATCAGCATCAGCATCAGCATCATCATCAGCATCGTCGTCATGAGCATCTTCATTACCACCTTCAAGATTCCTCATCCTGAGCATCAGCACATGCACCATCACCAGAAACACCATCATCGCAATTACCATCACACGCCACCACCACCACATCCACCCCCACCATCATCATCATCATCATCACCGTGATCATCAGCATCATCAGCTGGATAAGCAGTCTCATCATCATCACAATCACCATCATAATCATTACCATCATCATCATCATCATCAACAACATCATCATCATCAATATCATCACTGTCATCATCATCATGATCCCGATAATCGTTGTCGTCGTCGCCATCCTCATCTATCTCTCATCATCACTGAGATCAGCATCATCAATATCACGGCTCCCCGCGCCATGGAAACACGAATTGTCACGCGTGACGGCCTCACGCGCCCCTTCGAACAGTCGCCCCCCAGAATGCTGGGCTGGCACGGCGGCAGGACTTGCCGCAGGCAGCTGGGTAATCATTGCGTAGCAAGCGGGAGAGGCGGAAGAATGGACGAGATGGGACAGGACAGGACCCGCACTCGCGGTAGAGAGAGAGAGAGAGAGAAAGAGAAGGGTCATAGCTGAGCAACCGTAAAATCTAAGCCGTGCCACTCACCACCGTGTCGCGCCGGCGGCGCGACACCACGGCAAGAGGTGCGGAGGAGCTCAACGCGCCTCCCTTCCTTGCGCGCCAGATCTTCACAACCCTGAGAAATACTCACCGTCATAATATGCATCAATATGCAAAACGGATTATTATTCATCTAAGCCAACCATCGTGAAAGTCGGAGACGATGCCCCGACATCCGAACTCGCCAAAACGGGAACGGAAAACATGGGCATGATGGCCACCGTGAAAATGGACCAAAACCAGCAGCGGCCGCTGATTGGAGGGCGGCTTGTTGTATCAACCTCCGTCGCGACACCGGCAGCGAACCCTATGGAAAATGGATAAGGGCTCGGCCGGCTTACGTCCAGATTTCCGTGTACCCATATCGATCGCATCGTTTCCAACCCTTCCCCACGCATGCCCTTTGCCCAGCATGTTATGGAATCGGGGCGCATCCACCAGAGCCAAAGGCGCCCCCCATCCTCGGCGCCTGTCGCAAACACGCACACACACACTGATCCCACAAACAGAGAAAGAGAAATCAGCCTGACCAGCTGACTTTGCGCACCGTTCCCCGCGATGCGGCGCGCGGGATTCTTTCCACGCCCTCGCGCCCTCGCGCCGGCATGGCATGTTGGAAAAAGGCAGCCATTCTGGCCTAGACCGCAACGTTCACTGCGCGATTCTCCCCACGACCCCGCGGGTGTCCGAAAATGCGGCGCACACATAAACGTTCGAAGGTCCGCGCGGACATTTTCGATCAGCACTGGACCGTACCCCCCAGGGGATGATGCTGGAAACGCCGTCCTGGGGGTTCCATGCGATCCACGACTCCGCGCTGCCCTCCGCAGGGCCAGGGCGGGGCTGCAGGGTCAACAAGATCCCTGTTGACTGCCTGTCGCCGCAAATCACGCGTCGCGCGGGCGACGCTGATTGGGCTGCGTCACTTTCAGCGGCGGCGAGCAAACCAACCTTTGCATTCGCCCCCCTCGGGATGTCCCTTCAAATTCAAGGGGGGGGAAGGGCTTTCCCGCCGCCGCCTTAGTAGATCAGTCAAAGAGCGCTGCGCGGTGCGCAAGGATCAGTGGCCCGTTACTCCAGCCACTGGAGCAACGCATCCCGACATGAGATCGGTAGAAACAGATTTCAAGCGACGACGCAGTGCATCCGCGAAGAGAAATGACCAGACCTTGGAATAAGTGGCCAATATTCCAACTTCTCGGCATCAGAACGCGCGTGGCCGAGGCGCGCTGGATGATGTGGCTCGAGCAGACAGGGACGGAGCCGGACGTGAAACAACCGAGCAGATGATCGATGGGGGCCGATCCCAAGCCGGCGTGGATAGGACTGAAAGCGGTCGCGACTCCGCGACGAAGGATCGCGAGCAGGGACCAGGAAACGCGCCGCCAGCGAGCAGTCGCGCGACCGCGAAACCCCAGCACGGGGCCAGCAAGGCCCCCCCCCCCCACATGCACGCGCAGCGCGGCTGCAAATAATTGGTCCGTCCTTCAGACCTGTGGAACCCAATGAGGCGCGCGAGCTGCCGCGACGGGCATTCGTCGGCGATGGGAAGTTGATTGCCTCGCCGTGGATCAAAAGCCTCGACCGCGCGTTGGTGGCCCTGATGGCCAGCCATGACTGGGCGCAGAAGAACGCGGTCAATCGCGCACTCGGCGTGGCCGTCAGCGGCCGCGCCCCGGGCGCCGCGCCACTGAGCGGTGTTCAGGATGCCAAGGTCGAGCAATTCTCTCGACCAACTCATGCGCCTCTGTTGCATCTTCTTAGCAAAAGTCTCGCGCTCCTTGCTCGAAAAGAACGCGCGCGCCAATGTTGCATCCGTCGCCCGGAGTGCTCGGGCGCATGGCCCGCCGCATTCACGGGGGCGCTTGAATTCAAGACGGACCAGCGGCCACTTGGCAAGCCCATGCAGCGTCCCACGCGCGGGGGGGACATTCGTTCAAGGCGCGCGCGGCAGCAAGTGCTTCGGCTGCGATGCTGGGCGCGACCTGCAGGCGATGGGATTTGCGAGACTGCCGATGCACCGCGCGCCGCCACGCCGCCGCCTCTGTGTCTGCGACGCAGCAAGTTGCAGCCTCGAAGGCCGTAGCCCTTGGTCCCGTCGCCCTCCTCGCCGGCGAGCTTCCCGCGCCCGGAGTCGCTGTGCAGTTCTACCGCGCCAACAGGAGCCATGGCCGAAATGGGCATCTTCTTGACTTCATATGAAAGGCTTTCGAATGAGGGCTCAGACGTCTCGCCTGCGCCCTTTGATTCTGCGACAGCTCCGACGAGGACGGGGCGAACATGGGGGCGGAGCTGCTCGATGTATTCGTCTGGGGCCACGGCCGCGCCCCAAGTCTCCATTGCGGTATATATCGCAACGGCACTCGCGGGGGCGCGGTTGTTCAACGTCCACTTGGCGACTCCTGGCCCACCTGTTTGACGTGGCCATCCACGCGCGATTCCTTGTTACATGTTGCCGTCGTCAACATTTGATCTCAGAGGACAGCATCGACGGCTTCGCATCCGAAATGGCAGGACGTGCGCTTTGAGACCCATGTCGTTCGAGGTCTGTTGTCTCGATAAAATAACTCGTTTTTTATGTTGGTGCCTGTGCCGGGCTTGAGGCATTACAGACAGTGCCTCATTTCATCGGAGTCCTCGAATGCTGTTGACGCGCGCCGTTTAGCAGCTTTGCCAGGCACGCGGCGCGCCCCTGCTCAACCGCGGCGTCCGCGGGCTCTCTGCTTGTGACGCCCTTCAGGCCCGATGTAAGTCCTCGCGAGTCTGGGTCGCGCAAGGCATCCGTTCTCGATGACAGCGACGCCAGCGACGCCCGTCGCAGCACGCGTCGGCGGTGATGAAGTCAAGCAGCAGGGGGTCCTCGAACAAGGTTCGCGAAAACACGCTCTTCGCCAAGCTCCAATTGTCCTCGAATACATCGTCGGCCGCGCAAGTTACGCCCGTCTCCAGTCCGCCAATCTGTCTGCGTGGTAACGGGCTCACCAGTTGAACTGCCACTGCCTGGAGCGTCGCGCGTTAGCGCTATGGTGCGCTCCTGATTGGAATCATCGGGTGGGCGAAGTCGCGAGCCGATGGCCGCGGGGTCTCGAATATTTCCCGCTGCGACACTTTCGCCATCCCAGCCACTCTAAACATTCGGCGGGCCCATACCTTGCGCGCTGGTGAGCAGGCACGAGATGCGTAGAAACTGTCCCTCTTCGGCCGTTCGGTGCCTCCTATTCGCCAACGCGCGCGCGCCTAAAACATACTGAAACCCTGTATTGCCAACATTAAACTCATGCGCTGGGTGCTCCGCTGAGTCGACGTCTGACCTCTCCAGCAGCTGCTCGCCACGCTGGGAGGGCACCTGCCTGCTTGCATAGGGCCCCGCGGATGCCCAACGAACGTGGAAGTATTACTTCGGGGTTATCCGCGCGTGGTGGTGAGCGTGGGCCAACTGGTTGAGCAGGCCCGAATACTTGTTGAGATGGCAACGCTGCGTTCGGATCTGGTCGGTCTTCGCGGTCTTCGACGAGCTGCTGTTCCATGCGCGCGTTCGACATCAAGTGCCAAGCACGGTGGTGGCAACACCTCGGCAGCGACTGTTTCGCGATGCTCGGGTCGCGAGCCCGCGAGCCAATTCGCCGGTCGTTGATGGGGTAATGCCGGCGTCGCTGCGCTGCTCCATCACTTGCTCAAAAAGTGGGTCGTGCTCGGTTGCCCCGGCGGAGTAGAGCCCCCCCCCAGTTGGCAATTCTCAGATGAGCCCATATGTACGCCCCTGTATCCAGCAGCGCAGTTGGCAATTCTCAGATAAGCCCATATGTACGCCCCTGCATCCAGCAGTGCCGGTGAGTAGCGCTCTCTCAGAAGAGGCCCCTTGCCCCGCCGCGCGCGCGCAATCTCGGGCGGGATTGTGGGTTGACCCGCAGTTGTCGTTCGCGACCAGGCCCGTCGTCCGTCCCATTTTCCCCATGATCGTCGACGACGTCGAGAGCCCTCGCCGCGGCCTCGGCCACTGCCACTAACAAAATAGCTCCTCGTAGGCAGCGTCGTCGAGGACAGGCGGCGTAGGCTTGAATGCCTATACCTGTGAGTCGTCGGCGGTCTCCTCGCCCCCCTGCTGCTTTCCGCCTGCAGGGCCTGGTTCCCGAGCGCTCGAACTCGTCGCGCAGGCGCGCGCGCGCGGGGCGACTCAAGCGGCCGTCGCGGCGCCGCTTGAGGTCGAAGGGCTCGCGGGCGCATAAGGCTTCGGGGAAGTCCGCCAGATCACCCCAAATGTACTTTGTCTGGTTGATGGGGGAGATCGCGTCGGAGTCGGCGCCGCCGTCATCTTTTTCTTTGCCCCCCCCCCTTTCATAGCGCCGCAGTCGGGGCAGCTGGCGGCGCCGCTGCTGCCGCTGCAGCGGCAATTGGCGCCCGAGCGTCAAATTGCCACGAGCGCGTTGAGCGCCGCGCGGAGCGATGGCCCATCGATCTGCCGCTGGGGCCCCACGCTCAGCATGCGCGTCTGCTTCGGCACCAAACCCAGGGAGGTATGTAGCGTCAGTAGAGCGCATGTCGCCCGTGCCGAGGCCGCCCACGAGCTGGGTGACGTTGCCTGGCACGCGCCCCGCACTGCGCCGGCGTCGTCAAGTTTCTTCCAGCTGTTGATCGCATTAGTGCTGGGCGCGTGGCATCGTGGCGTTGAACGCATGGAGAAGCGGCGACGCTTCGCGCCGAGGAGCTCGTGGCGCTCAGGCGAGAGCTGCGAACAGCAGCCGGACGTTGTCCAGTCCAAACCCTGCTGCCCCAGCCAGGGCCCCAGCCCCCATGCGAGCAGTCTCCGAGAGTGCCAAAACGCTGTCGGTCTGGACGTTGTTGCGCACTCTGCAGTGGATCAGATACAATGTGCTGCATTTGGCGCGCGTCTTCTGACCTGTCGAGCTTCTGCGCCGAATGATGCAGCAAGTGCGCGACTGGGCCCGTCCTGGCCCCGCTGGCTTCGGCCCCGAAATTGACGGCGCCCGACGGGATCCTCGTGGCGAGGGTGCGCGAAGGGCCCTCTGGCGGACCCGCTCACGGGCAACAGCCAGCCGGGCAGCCGCCGGCTGGGGCGGCGTCATTCGACCAGAATGAACGTTTGGCCACGCGCGTGCTCCTCGGACCCACGCGCGTGAAGTTGCATTCCTTGCGGAGGCCCAGGAAGGACCCCTCGTCCGGTCACCCTCGCGCCCACTCATCCCGCGGCCGATGACGACGCCTACGGCGAAGGCCGCAAACCTTTTGATGGCAAGGCCCCAGGTGTGGAGCCAGAGGCAGAAGACGTTGGTTGTTGTGGTTGTGGCGAGAGTGGTGGTCGTGAGTACGCAGGCAGCTGGGAGTTGAGAGAAGTTCGCCAGTCAACGTTCCTCCATATGGGCGATGTGGTTGCTGGTCGATGTCCCGCGCTCATGGGTCGCGAGCGTTTGGGTCGATACTGTAGTTGAAGAAATTACGTTCGGGGCCAAGGTTGTTGAAGTAGCGGTCGAGGTTCCTCGCGCGCCGGCACACCTTGGCACTGGTGACGTAGACCCTGTCCAAGCAGAGATCGGGGTGCTGTGGGGGAACCTCTGGTACCGCGGTCGAGTCTGTCCGCGCGCGTATGACGTGGGCAGGGGTGAGGGCCAACGCTGTGGTAGCGCTGCGTTTGGTGACGGTCGGGTAAGCGCCTCGAAACGCGTCCACAACGAGCTGGTCCTCGAGGTCGCTTCCGCCTCCACGTACATGTTGATGTGAATGGCGGTCGGCGCAGCTCATGTCGATCGTCATCACACCGATGGCGGGGGGAACAGGGCTGCCGCATGTGCGACGGCCCCACTACCAAGTCGACGGGGGGATCGCCACCTCGCCATGGCGATGGTGGCAATAGGACAGCAAAGATCTCTGTACTTCTAATCGCCGCAAAACATGCGTTGCGCCGGCGTCACAGGCAGATCGGGTTGCGCCGCCTTGAGCCAAGGCGGCGGCGGGCAAAGCAGGCCATTCGCTCCCCCTCAAAACGTTCCTTCCAATCGCCCGCGGCCCACGGCTGAGGGGCAGGAGATGCCGTGGCAGCCTTGGAACTTGGAAAGTCACTCGTCCGTGCAATGCGGCATGAACGTACCCCGCTGGTTTTCTCTTCTTCAATCCATCCTCCACCCTCCAAGACTTCTTGCCCCCTCCCAGGGGCGGCGGGGAGGATGGCACTAGCTGCAAGTGTACGCCCCTGGTTCCCTCGGCGGCGAGCGAGGGGGGGAAGTGAGTAGGAGGCCTTCTCCGAACGCGGCGAGGCTACTCAGAAGCCCTCCTTCTGAAAAAAATCTGTCTTCGAGTGGGGGCTTAGAAGGCCTCTCAGAAGGCCGGAAGACTTCCGAGCCTCCTGGGAAAACCCACCCCCCTTCGCGCTCCCTCCCGGGCGCGCCGCCGATGTTCCTATGGTGGAAGGGCGCCTTCCGCAGGACGGCGCGCAGACTGCTGCCAAGGCGGGGCCCGAGCGACCCCCGGGGGGGGGAGCGGCCCGCGCGGCGCGGCGGGGGGCCACGGCGTCCCCTGGCTGATGGCCTGCAGGGGCGGCCGCCCGCCGCCACGGGGCGGCTCCTCGCCACGCCCGCCCTCGGGCCGCCTCCTCCGGGGCGGCGGGATCGACACGCAAGGTTTGGAGCCCTGGAAATTGGCACCAACACCAGCACAGGGGATTGCCTCCACATGGAAAAAATGATCCTAGAGTTCGGTGTTGGTGGCAATGTTTCGGCCACCCTGGAAGTCAGAATATTACCACCGTCGCCGAGATCGGGATCTTCTTCCCTCGGTGGAGGCACACCGCCGATCTTGGTGTTGGGGTCAACCTCTGGGCCTGCGAAAGGTGCTCGCTCTGGGGACCATCCCGGGGGCCACTGGCTCCACTCGCGTGTCGCTGCTGCGTCGAACGTCCGTCGCCCTGGTCGAACTTGGGCAGAGCTTGAGTCGAACTCCAGTCGGGCTGGAGTCGAACAATGAGTCAAACATGATTCGTCCGAGAGTCAAACAGGATCGTTGTGGGCCCCACGAGAGCCCACCACACGAACTTCTGGTATGTGTATAGGAGTGCCCAGGAACGGTGTATTCGCCCGCCTGGCCTGGCCAGGGGGACACCTGCAGTCAAGCTGCTACCATGAGGAACGCTGGATGAGGAGCAAGGCCCTCTCTGGGCCCAAGTACGCCTGGGTGCACGAAGAGCCCCAGAAGCACAACCACGGATAGGCCCAAGGAGCAGCGAGCCCCTTCTGAAACCGAACTGATTCTTGTTCGAGCATCTTGACTGTACACTCTGCGCATGGGCTCAGGATGGGCCTGGTCAGTGGCAGTGGATGCGTACATAGGCCCTACATAGGCAACCACACGTGAATCCTACCCCTGCCGTTCAGATTTCAGAGACGTCGGCTGGGGTTCAGAAATCGACGGATGTCTGTAGCCAAGTACCCCCTGGCAGGGGTGTCCGATACCCCAGCATCGGTTGGACCCGCAGGGGTAATCTCGCACGTGGCCACAGAATATCCGCCATCGTGCCTCGAGGCATGAAAGGTAGCGTCCTCGGGTCCCTGAGAGCCCTCTGCGTTGAAAACTGCAGTGCTCTGTAAGCGGCCCGCAGCCCCGAATTCTACTCCTGCAGCTCAGTGGGCCCCGATTGTTCTCGCTAGACTCCTCACGAGGCAAGACCGATGATTCTCGTCGCCCGGAGCTCCTGCCGCCGCAGGTGCACCTCAGAGTGCCTTGTTGTCCCTGTAGAGAGCTGCAGCCTGGCCCCTGCGGCGGCGCCGTCGAGGCTAGGCGTAGCCCCCAGGCCCTGGACATCTCCAGGCACGGGCCGACGCCAACACTGCGGCGGGGGAGAAGACGCTGGCGCCCGGGTGGTCGTCCTGCCCGACACGCAGAGCCTGCTCGTACAGGCGGAACTGCTCTGGCTGCACGCGGAGATGTTCGGAGGAGGGCCAGCCACGACAACGGCCGCCCTCGCGAGGCGACGTTCGTCCTTCCTGGGGCCTCCTGGGGGCCTCCAGTCGCCACGGCTCTCATCCGCCTCGGCAAACGCGTCAAGCTGGACCTGGGGAACGTGTGGGGACCGATTCTGAAGGGACGAGGGCCGGGTGGGGGGGCTGCCGCTGCCTCAACTGGCCCTTCTCCGAGATTGTAGTCCAGCGCGATCAGGAGGCAACGCTCGAGTCGGTTGACCTCTCTGAGGCGCACTCCGCCCGCCTTCGCGTAGTGCGAGTTCCCGTAAGTGAGGTCCTCGCTGTACTTCACCGCCAGGACGAGGCACGTGAGGAAGAGGCGGTGGGCGTTCAACTCCGTCAGGCGCCCAGGCTCCTGGCAGCTGCGGCGAGCGCCGACGGTCGCGCTGGGCCCCTCGAGGAACCGGTCCATGATCACCAGGGCAGTGACGAATGCCGAGTCACCGCAGCGAAAGGCGGCCTGCAGCCGGCGCAGGTAGCTGCGCAGTGATATGGGAGGTACCTCCGAGCTGTCGAAGACGCTCAGGGTGGAGGTCCTCGCCAGCCGGACGGCATTGTTCCTGCAAGATCAGTCAGCACCGAATCGGGAAATCGAATCGGATCGCAAAGTGCGTCGCATCGGACCGAATCGCACAAAATCGGCTTCGCCAGGGCGCACAACAACGCCATGCAAACATCGGAAAACATCGCATCGTCGGAATGCAGGAGGCGAATCGGATCCGGCAAACCGAAATCGACATCGGATCGGACCGACCAATTTGAAATGGATCCCGTCCTGATGGTTCCCTCCATTGCCTCCGCGACGCGCTCCACCAGCCCAGGGGCGCTCGCGGCACCCGCTGGCCCCTTGCCTGGAGGAACGAAGCACTGCATGAACAGAGACTTCGGGAGCTCCGCGCGGACTTCTGGGATCGGCGCCGGACCCCCTCCGTGGCGCGTGAAGCGCGCCGGGGGGAACGCCGAAGGCGCCGCTGGGTGGTAGGGACCAGTGCAGACTCAAGAAATCCTCGCGGACCTCCGAAGGTTTATGATTATGCTTCGGTCAGGCATGTCCTCTTAGAGGCGGATCTTGGGCAAAAAATCACAAATAGTCAAAAACACTCGGAAACAGAATAGAAAAATCGTCCCCATAATATGTTTCACTATGATTGAATGTTCTTGCTGTAGAGGAACATGCCCGACTTAAGATGATGCCATGGTTTTTTCAGGCGTAGCCCGGATTTGTCTCTCGCGAGGCGAACTGACTCAACTGAACTGAACTGAACTGACTGGTCGTACCCGTTACGCGACGGTTTCATTCTCGGACAACGAGGGCGCAACCTATGGCACAACCGATAAGAGACACGGCTTCATTCTCGGCCGCCGAGGGCGCAACCTATGGCGCAACCGATGGGAGAAGGTTCCATTCTCGGCCGCAACCTGCCGATAGGAGACGGTTTCATTCTCGGCCGCCGAGGGCGCACCCTATGGCACTACCGACAGGACACGGTATTTTTCTCGGCCGCCGAGGGCGCACCCTATGGCGCTACCAACAGGACACAGTATTGTTCTCGGCCGTCGAGGGCACAACCTATGGCGCAACCGATAGGAGACGGTTTCATTCACGGCCGCCGAGGGCGCAACCTATGGCGCAACCGATAGGACACGGTTTCATCCTCTGCCGCCGAGGGCGCAACCTATGACGCAACCGATAGGAGACGGTTTCATTCTCGGCCGCCGAGGGCGCAACCTATGGCGCTACCGATAGGACACGGTTTCATTCTCGGCCGCCGAGGGCGCAACCTATGGCGCAACCGATTGGAGACGGTGTCATCCTCGGCAGCCGAGGGCGCAACCTATGGCGCAACCGATAAGAGACGATTTTATCTCGGCCAACGAGGTGCCAGGAAGAGGATGAGCAGGAGGGAGAGGAGAAACGAGGACGAGGTCCTGGACGAGGACGACGAGGAGGAGCTCGAGCAGGAGGATGACGAGGAAGACGAGGAGAATGAGGAGGACGAGGAGGAGGACGACGACGACGATCAGGATGGGAGAAGGGGACGGGGAGGAATACGAGTAGTACGAGGACGAAGTGTGAGCATTCGACTGCGTGCGGGGCTACGCCCGATTTATGTTCGCTGTTTGGGCTGGCGGTGGGGCCCAAAAGGCGAGCTGTCTTGTGATTCTATGACTGCCTGCTGTGGGGGCCCTGGGCCCGCCGGCCAGCACGAGGTGCACCCCCTGCGGGTGGCCGACGGGGCCTCTGCCGCAGAGCCTGGCCGAGTCGATGAAGAGCGACGCGGTGCTGCCGAGCAACTCCTGGCACGAGGCTGCGCCCAGCCCCGCGGGCGTGTCCTGGGCGCTCCCCGTCGAAACCGTGGTGCTGGGGCTGCTGCACATATGAGGGCTTCCAGAGGCCTCTGCGGCCCGTCCGGGGGCCTGGAGGAGCTCCAAGAACTGCACAACCATGAATGTTCGAGGGGTCGCGCAGATTTTCCGGATCGGCGCTGGTCCCCTTGGCGCGCTCCTCGCGCCAAGCAGGGGGTGTCTGGCGCCGGAGGCGCCGCCAGCGCCGATCCGAAAACTCCGTGCGAACTCTCGATGTCGCAGGTTGGTGCATTTTTTGCTCCTCGAGGGACGCCTGTTCGGCCGCCGCCGGGCGGCCCTCTTCGCTCGGGTCGCCTGGCAACGCGCGCGCGGGTGTTCAGCGAGGCGGGCACCCAGGGCGGGCTGCGGGCCCAGGGCTGAGAGCCCAAATGGCTGCGGGCCGTTTCGGAACTTCGCCAGGCTGGTCGACCCCCCACGCCGGATGCTCATCCATGTGCAGAGGACCTGATTATATCACGCACGCACACAACAGCATCGGCCTACACAACATATTGGGCATGGTACGCCTCCGATCTCGACAAGCCACACTGCTGCGAAACATAACTCCGCGCGGGTACGGCTTTCTGTATGCGCTGACGTAGACGAAATTACGTTATCATACAGCTGCGCCCGCGAATTGCCACATGAGCGTCTCGGACCCGCTGCGGACCATCTGCGGCCAAACGCGCGTCATTGAGCGACTAGGCTATACGCTATGCCAATCGAACGAAATGGTTCCTGTTTGCCACTGGTATTGTGGGCTCAGGGACACACTGTGGTCCAAGATAACACAGGTTTCAACGGCGAGGGGTCGCTGGAAACACGTATCGCCGCAAGTGCCGCGCGAAGAATGGAAGGCAGCGGAAGCAAGCGAAGCTGAAACGTCTCGGCCGCCGCAGCCGTCGCAGCCGCCGCCAACCGCCGCAGTGACCGCCGACGAAACCGCCGCAGCCGTCGCTGCCACCGCAACCGACCGTCGCGTCGCCGCATCCGCCGCCGCACCTACCGCGGATCTCGTGTTCTTTGCTGTCGCGAGTCCCCTGTGCACGGCTGCTGTGGTTCCCGCCCCTTCTGCTGCGGCGGACCCCACGGAAGGGCAGAGGCCCCCGGCCTGAGCGGCCACCGGGCCGGCGGCCGCAGGTGGCGCTGGCCGCAAAGACAACCGAAGGGAAACCGACAGAGCACCTTTTTAGAAACCTAGCGAAAACCATAAGAAGCCGAATAGGAGCCAATAGCAAACCTAAAACAACCATCGGGGAACACAACAAACCATAATAAACCTGGTCAGCGTCCGCGCGGAAAGCCGCCCTTGCCTTCCCCTCCAATTCTCGCGTTTCCGTTACATGCGGTGCTGTTGCGAAGGCGATGTTTCTTGATTGCATCCCGCGGGTCACAATACCGAGGAGGGGGAGAATCATGAATCTCTGGCCGCTAGGAGCGCCACTCCCCCCCCGAAAGAGGACGCGGGAGCGGGAGGGGGTCGTCCATTTGTAATTCCGAATGTCGCACTAACGTCGGTGACGGGGGCCGGCCCCCGTGGCGGGGAAGTTTGCGACCTCCCTCATTTCCCAACAGCGCCCACGACCGCCCGAAGAGCGCCCCATGAGGGCATGCTTCAGCCTCCCAGGGGGGGGGACCTGAATTGAGGACCCCCCTCCTTTGGGGAGGCTGCCCCAAGAGACCTCTGAAACCCGCCCGACAGGTCCGAAAAGGGCTACAAAATGGCCCCGAAAGAGCCCCGAGAGTGCCCGAAGCGGGCCCCAAAAGGACCCCAAGAAAGCCCCAATATGGCTCCAAGAGACCCCAGAGAATCTCTCACAACAGTACCTCCACGTTACCTCAGGTTTTGGAAAAACTGGTGGGGATGCTTTTTGTTCGCGAGCGCAAGCGGAAAAGGCGGCGCGCCGTCAGAAACTACAGCTAACAAGCAAGAGCTTAAATTGCACACGGGAGACAGAAAAAGAGAGACAACAGGAGAGCAGCGGGAGGAGAGCTTAGCCGGGGCGGACCGCGCAGCGCTCACGGAGAGGGTGTCATCGGCAGCTAGCATCCGCCGGGGTGTGCACGCCACGGCGGCAGGCAATTCGCTGGCAGTGTGGTTTCACGTGGTGACTGCGACGTGGGGCAGCCCCGCGGGAGATAGCGGAAGCCGCAAGCGCCTGCTCCTGGCCGAAGGGCAGCACGCGGGGAGCTGAGCGCGGCAAGGGCTACGCATCCCTGCAAGGTGAGCAAGTCGAAAGCAGCCACTGTGGGTGGCGGCGGAGAGAGCGAGCGGCGACGACCGAATAGCAATTCGCGCCGCGGGACAGGCACGTCGTAAGCAGACTGAATGCAGGCAGCCACGCGTCTACACCACTGAAGCGGCTAGCTTGCACGCAGGCGCTCGACGGACGGGAGTCCAGATCGCCAAAACCGGCAGGACGACAGAGGAGTCGAAACCCGGCAAGGGGCTGGGGGGAGGAGGGCAGCGGGGCGATGCCAGGGGTGGCAAGGCGGACAAGCCGAATAGAGAGAGGGCCCAGGGGCGCTCCTGGGCCGAGCAGCGGTGCGCCTGGACCAAGGGGCAGCTCGCCGTGGCGGCAAGCCGCGGCAGCGGGAGGGGAATGGGCCATCCTCCTGTGCCGAGGCGGCGGCGGTCCAGGTGGGAAAAGCAGGAGCCAGGAAGCAGCGCGGCAAGGAGCGCGACACCGAGGCCACGCCATCGAGGAACACCCTCCAGTATTAGGCGCGAGCGCCAGGCTGCAGTAGCAGCAGGAAGGGGCGCGGAGTGCGCCGGGAGGGGTGCCCTGAAAAAGGGCTGCGGAGAGGACGGGCCAACGGCGAGAAGGGGGTGGCCGCGCCCAAGCGCGCTCGGCCGAGCGCGGGCCCCCTGCGGGCCCCTGGCGGAGCAGGACTTACCTCGAGCAGAGGGGGGGACCTGTAGGAGGGGGCGGCAACCACCCCACGGCGAGGCTGCAAGTGTTGGCGCGGCGAGGACTATCAGGGTGAGCAACCAGCAAGCCCAGAGGGGGATTGCACGGCGGGACCTCAGCGTTGCTGGGGGGCGACCTGGAGCATTTGGCGCGCACGCCTGACTAACAGGGAGCGCCCATGGGAACCTCGATGCCCAGGGAGGGGGGCAGCGCTGCAGGCCGCGGCGCTGAGCGAACCTGCGGTGGGCGACGGCGCCGCGAGCAATGCCGGGGCCGAAGAAAGCGACGTGCCGTTGGAGCAGCGGCGCCCCTGGTTGCGCCCGTGCTCGAGCAGGTGGGGATTTTTGTTTCGCGGCCGCAAGCGAAAGCGCAGGTGGCGTCAAAGGTCAAACCGGACTACGGGCGAAGCCTGATTACCCAGCGAGCGCACTCACGGCTGCCGAGGCTGCCGCCGAGGGATGCTGCGTGGCGCCGGGGGCTGAAGGCAGGCTGCAGGAGCTGCCAGGAGAGCCAGGCGGCCGACATGCAGCCATCCCAGAGGCGAGACCACTGGGAACACGAACGAATTGTTCCTTGTCGCGCCAGGCGCCAGAGGTAGACGCGCAACCAGACGTGGCAAAGCGCGGGGCAGCGCAGGCAGTTCAGCGCACTAGGCTGCGCAGGTGGGGCTACTTTTTTGGTCGCGGCCGCGGGCGAGAGCGCGCGCGGCGAATCGTATGTCCAGGGCGCGGGCCTACTAATTGACAACAGGAGCAAACTAGAGCCGCACACCTAAACTGACTAAGCTGCCTAAGCGGCGCCTCGCGTGAGCTGCAAGCTGCAGTGAGTGCGGGGCCAGGGCCGAGGTTTCTGCGCGCGCAACGAGCTGCAAAGGGTGGCGAACTGCCAGGGCGGTCGGCAGCCAGGAACTGCAAGCTGCGAAGTGAATTGCGCGCAAGGGCGCAACCACCCACGGGGCTGCATGAGTGCCAGGGTGGCCAAAGCCAGGTGGACCGACCGTCACGACATCATTTGGATGCGAATGAATTGGGCAGCAGAAGCTGCGGCGCGGCCAAAATGGCGCGGGGGGGCACCGCGATGTGACCAGGGCGGGCACATCAGAGTGACCCAAGATGCCTGCCAAGGCCAGGCAGGTGCGAGCGGCGGCGCCAGCAAAGCCGCGCACCCGAGCCCCGGACAGAGGGGCGCAGCGTCGAGACCCTCGGCGGTTTCTTCGACGATAAAACGGCTCAACGCCGCTCTGCAGCGAGCGCTCGGCCCAGCCCTTCCTGGCGATTTCATCGCGCAGAAGCCCGAGCCCCGCCTTGCGGCCCGCAAGGGGGGCTTCCAAGGCCACCTGGCGACGCGCCGAGCTCGGGCCCGCCGCGGCGCGCACGCGGGCGCGGCGCCGACCTGCAGTGCGAGGCGCTTGTGCTCCAGGCACCGCGCGCATGTCAATTGTTCGTTGGCGGCGGCCGCGATTGCCCGCGCGTCAAAAGCAAGGTGCCACTCGGACCAGGATAGTGCGCGCGCCTTTCCGCCGCTGCCCGCGGCCTCGCCGCCATCGTCGGCGTCGTCTCCCCCGTGGGCGCTCGCGTCCCAGGTCGGGAAGAAGCCGCGCAAGTCCGTGCAACTGAAAGGATGGCTGCAACCACGCGTCCTGGCTCTCGCGGCGTCGGCCGCGAGCCAGTCGCACTTCGCTCTCCTGTCGCGGCATCGCGAACGCGTCGCCCACCGCGGGCGACCTGCGCGCGCTTGCCGAACCTCGGCCAGACCGACCGGCTCAGCCCGTTCAACGAAATCGACGCCAGCTCGGCGCCCACATCGACGTGAATCACGGGGGCGGCAATCTCCACGTTCGCCTTCGCCCGCGTCGCGCGCGCGCCACCGCGCCGAACGCGCGCGCGCGTCGCCGCCTGTTTACCTGCCGCGGTCGCGGGTTCCAGCGCGTTGCGTAGAACGCCCTTCAGGGCAGCTGGCAAGCGCTCCGCGCCCACCAATTCTTCGATGCGGATGTTCGCCAGCTGGGACGGCGCCCTTAAACTGTTCTCTGCGAGGCAGTCGACCCCTGCCTTGGATTCGATGTCCGGCCACTCAGCACCGAACGCGGGGTCCTGTTTCAAGAGCCCAAGCAGCACAGCGCCCGCCATGGGGGCGAACGACGCTGGCTGAGCAGCCACGCTCGCGCGGAAACAGTTGACGCGTTGGTTCGCCGCGCGACTGCGCGCAGAAGATAGGCCCGCCAGAACACGGCGTCCGCCCAGCAGACAAACCAGGAAGCATACTCGATGGTACGAATGAGACCCCACGGGATAGCATCGCGGCCAGCGGGGCCACCAGGACGCGGACCGGTCCCGGACCGAGTTGGCCACTCTAGGCACGACGACCCACGAGTCCACGCCGGGGCGACAAGGAGACCTGAGCAGGCACCCGTAGCTGAACGGAAAGGGTCCATCGAATATTGGCCGCGCTGGGCACATGCGAGAACTCCAGGGCCACCACGGGCCAGCCGAAAGTCCGCAATGGGACCGAGGAAGTAGAAGGAAACGCCAGTCGCGAACCAATGAGG